CTATATTCTATATTCTATATTCTATATTCTATATTCTATATTCTATATTCTATATTCTATATTCTATATTCTATATTCTATATTCTATATTCTATCTCTCTCGTCTTTACATTACAAATGAAAAAATTGATTTTTCTTTCTTCCACTTAAAATTCACTCGTCGAACGTACAAATAATTGCAAAAGGCAATAAATTTCAATTCAGGAGAAGAAAATCAGTCGCAAACATCTACTCGCAACGTGTGTAATTGTGAGTAATCGAGTTTTAGAGCTACGAAATTACGTGATTGTCTTACAAAACGAGTTCGATTTTACCTTTCACATATATGGCTCTTGGGGTTTCTAAATTTCAGTCAAACATCTAACTACAATGTTTACATTGTTGAAAATTTCGGAAGAAGTGAATATAGTATTTTATTTGCAAATGTCACAAAAGTTTTATTTTTGCGCCTAAGCGTTTTTACTTTTACCATGACATATCGACATTTTCTGGAGAGGTACGTTGTAGATTATCAGCATTCACATTTTGCACTACTAACTGCACTAGTTAACACTTTCGAAAATAATTTTGTTTATTTACTTGCTAATTATTTTGATTTTACTCTCCTTGCGGATAAAATAGTATATGGTATTTGGAGTAAAAGTGAGTTAAATGTTCAGCTTTGCCACACTTTTACTCCAAATAACATGATATACTACTTTTTATATTTAAAAGAATTTAAAAGAATTTATTTTGTTACGTTTTTTAAAGTTTCAGTAAAAGATCTAACTACAATGTTTACATTGTTGAAAATTTGATTGTTTAGGGTAACTCCGAGAGAAATGACTTTTTTACACCTCGGAATATAGTATTTTATTTGCAAATGTCACAAAAGTTTTATTTTTACGCCTAAGCGTATTTACTTTTACCATGACATTATTGACATTTTCTGGAGAGGTACGTTGTAGATTATTAGTATTCACATTTTGCACTACTAACTGCACTAGTTAACACTTTCGAAAATAATTTTGTTTATTTACTTGCTAATTATTTTGCTTTTACCGTCGTTGCGGATAAAATACTATATGTCATTTGGAGTAAAAGTGAGTTAAATGTTCAGCTTTGCCACACTTTTACTCCTAATAACATAACATACTATTTTTTATATTTAAACGAATGTGTTTTTTACTTTGTAAGAAAAATCATTTGTGTTTTTTTTTACTCTAATATTTTATTTTTGATGCATGAATTTTCTTTAGGACTGGATTGAAAGCTTTGACGAGGAAAATCAGACATGATGAAAAATACTACGAAAATAAATTTTTGGTATTATTTATTAAAAGTAAACTCACATCCATTAAATCAAATAACAAATCATTTTGAAAACGATTTAATTGAATTAACTTTATTTCGAATCGTTTCCACTCGTCGGTTTTTGTGTTTACAGATTTTTAATTAAACGATTACGTTGTATTTTTTTAACAAACAACGTGATTAAAGCAAACAAATCTAATTACTTTAAAATGGTAAAAGTTTTATCGGATTTTGGGGCAAAAAAAATTGTTATCTAAAATGCGACAAAGCATTACCATCTTAATGGCAACAAATGATGACAAGACGACAGCAATGTTGGCGTTTAGATAAGAAGGCGGCCGCTTAGAGGCTTAACCTCCAGTGATGGAATAAGAAATTAAAATCAGGAAGAAACACCATTTGATTTCAGTAAAAAATTTGACCCAGTTAGAGCTAATTTCTTTTTTTTTACTTGAAAAATATAAAACCAATCGTAAAGTTTAACTATCTAAATTATCACTCTGTGGAATTTTCAAACTTTGCAAACAAATGGACTAATTAAAGCCGATGATACGTGTTAGAACATTTTTTTCTCTTTATAGTACAAAAGTAAAAGATAAAAAAATTTAAGTAGGAAATGTGAATATTACCATTTTTATCGAACATTTCTCTTTTCTTTCTTCTTTTGGTTATCTTCCCCTTTTTGAGTTTTGTTCATAAAAGTGCTTTAAAAATACTAATTTTTCCTCTCTCCACTTTCTATTCTCATATTTTCTGTCTGCTGTTTTTCTTTCTCCCTTTTTTGTTTCTTTTTATTTTCAATGTTTTTTTAAACATATATTTTTCGGTAATTCTTAAACAATTTTTGCTATAATTATCAAAAGTTCGAGGTTTGATCCCAGGTCCAAACATTTTTTCCCTCTATATTACGTAAACAAAAATAAAATACATAAAATTCATAAAAAAATGTGAATAAAGAAATTATTTTTTTATTTGTTTTTTTAAATTCTTGTAAAATGTATTTTTTTTCTTTTCTTAGCAGTTTCTATGTTATTTTAACAAATATTTCATATTGTGAGGTTAGAAAACTCCTTTAATATATGCACAAGTTAAAAATGATATAACCTCATTTAAGATAATAAAATAATACTACCAACTTAAGTTAATAATACTTATCTGAGTTAAGTAGAAAATGTGGATATTACCATTTTTATCGAACATTTCTTTCTTCACTTCTCTTCTTTCTGTTATCTTCCCTTTTTTTAGTTTTATAAAAGTGCTTTAAAAATCCTATATTTAAGAAAACTTTACAAAATAATGTTATTGTAATTTTTTATCTCCATTTTTCCTCTCTCCACTTTCTATTCTTTTCTTTTTTGTCTGTTTTTTTTCTCCCTTTTTGTTTCCTTTCATTTTCAATATTTTTTCAAACATGTATTTTTTTGTAATTTTTAAACAATTAAACAGTTAGGGCTAATTTTTTTTTTACTTGAAAAAAAAAATTAATCGTAAAATTTTAAACTATCTAAATTATCACTCTGTGGAATTTTCAAACTTTGCAAATGGAGTTATTAAAGCTGATGATACGTTTGTGTTAGAAATTGCTGTTGTGCAAATTGTGAAGGGAATATTGACTTAACTTTAACACAGTAAATTTGTGTGTTCCAATTTAGTCAGATAACATGGTGACAGAGGCTTTAATATCTAAGTTTTGTGTATTAAAAAAAATTGAAATTTTTATTTGCCTTACTTTCCCAGGAAATAAATGTGAAAAAACAACGATAAAAGACTAAGTATTCATAAAAAATTAATATTAATAGCATTAATAAAAAAATAAGTCGTTTTTCTGATGCTTGTCCCTATTTACTTGCCCTTTTAATTGTCTGTTTTTTTCTTTTTAATTCTTTTTTTTTATTTTTTTTTATAATGAACTGTTTCTGTGTCTAAAGAATTACAATTAGCAAATAAATGTTTTTTTTTGTTGTTTATCGTCAAATATTAGAAAAAATTTTCAACTTGATCAATTTTTTTTCTGTTTATTTTTTGCAATTTTTGGTTTTCTCATTTTAATCACAACTTACTCTAACAAAAAAATATTTCAATTATCAATAATAAAAGCTAATTTTTTTTTAAGTTGCTAATAGAATAATTTTTTATCACAAAAGTGGCCACTTTTATGACTAAATGTCACAAGCAAAAGTTTTACTTTTATGGATGGAATAAAAATTTGATTTTTGCGCTTAAGCGTTTTTACTTTTGCTATGACATTAACCAATGTCTTTTTTGTTGCTTCAGCAATTTCTAGAGAAGTACATTGTTGATCATCAGCATTCGACATTTTTCACTACCAACTGCACTAATTAAATTAATACACTTTCGAAAATCTTAACACAAATTTTGATACTGACGCGTGATGCTTGTTTATGAGCCTTGTTATGATTTCATTACTTGTAAAGCGTCCTGGTTATTTGGTTTATTTACTTGCTAATTGTAGTGCTGCTCTTTACTCTCGATTTGATATATACATTTGTGAATAAAATAGTATATCTTATTTATTATTAATTATTTATTCTTAACTTTCAGCTTCACTTTTACTTCTAACAACATAAT